AAAAAAAAAAAAAAAAAAAAAAAAAAAACGGATATATTAAAAAGTTTACGTTTTCGTGATATGAAGCATAACATTAAAAAAATATGTTTAACATTTTACATTTTAAATTAATGTAAACACCATTCAAAGAAGGATGCCGGACAACTGACTGTACGTAATGTTGATAGATGCGACAAGGGGTCAACTGTTTAATGAAATTGAAGCATTATCAAAGCCCTCGCTGTATTGTGTGTCAGTGATTCGCCATTATTTCCTTAAAACGAGTATTAGCCTGAAGGTGTAATTTTGAAGACGCATTTGATTGAATTCAGGAAATATTTTGACCTTATGTATCATTTCACTAAATCTCCATGTGGCACCAGTGGTAAACTTATTATTACAAATGTTGTACACTTCCCCAAATGAAACAGTCTCCTTTGCTACTTTCCAGGTAATTCTCTATTCTCCGAGTGCACATTATCAAACGCCTACCAGAATGTCACCGCGGAGACGTCGTGTCCTTCGCTCGGCGCTGGCCCCCTGGTGACCCCCCTGTGTACCTTTAACCCCCTCTTCCTCCTCTTCACCGCCTCCGGGTTCCGCTGTATGTGTCCACCGGGGGCGTTTCCTTTCACGTTTCCTGGCTCCTTCGTCCAATCGACAGAGGCGGTGGTATCGGTGTGCCTGCCAAGTAAGTATTATTATTATTATTATTATTATTATTATTATTAATATTATTATTATTATTATTATTATTATTCACACCTTTTAAGCTATCATTATTATTATTATTATTATTATTATTATTATTATTATTATTATTATTATAATTATTGGCGTTGCAAAAAAAAAAAAAAAAAAAAAAACGCGTGTACAGAATGTGTTTCATCAAAATGGGTTAATATGTTTAATGACGTACTTCTCCTAAATGTTCTAGTTACTGGTTCTACCTGCACAACGAACGCTGATTGTAACCTTAGGGTGACGGACTGTCTTGGCTTTGCATCGACAATCAGCGCAGCTCCCCCTAACTTTATGCCGGGGATCTCCTCAGACATTGCAAGCCTTATGACGGTAAATTGTAGTATTTTATTTATGATTTTTTTTTCATAATTTATTTCTTATTCTTTGGTTTTTCTTCGAATCGATATGTAGTTGCAAAGTACTGTGCTATTATTCTGAAAGTAAAATCTAAATTAAAATCAGATGCAACAGAAGCTATTTGCAAAGTAAAACGTAATGAAATTTTGAGATCGTCATAAGAATGAGAACATGATTGGATATTTGTTTTCACATGTATTAGTAATAACCATCGAGAACATCTTGCAAACAGATTATTCATTATTAATTTTTTTACCTAAGATCGTCAGTTTTTGCTATAACTTCCAGCCGGTGACCGGGCTGATTTGCAGTTTCAATGATCGCTTTAACGTGGACATTACCCCCATCTATTACTGCAACGCTGGTAGCTGCGCCGAATACAACACAAGTGAGTTTTGTGGGAAATAGGTTATCTTATTACATCCTCCGTTATTTATACTCTTGTTTACTGGAGTTAGGTAGTAGTTTTGGTATGTTCAAGAAAGTCAACCACGTTTACCCGCCACCATTGCATATAACAGAATAGAGGTTAGATGTTTAAAAATCCGGGGTTGAAATGTAATGGAAAAGCATAATTCATTTCGTAAAGATCACACCGTAGACTTAGCAAATACAAGAAATATAAAAATGGAGGGTTTTGAGCTCGATGATGATGATACCACAGCTATTATTGTTCCTAAGATCCAAGAAACCACGTTTTTTGAGGACAATTCAGTTTTTATAGTGAAAGCGTTTATGACCTCTTGAATGTGGTATTTTTAAAATGTGTTCATTTATTTGGATAACATGACTAAACTACGTCACTGTAATGTCCCTATTCTACACAGACTACAAATTCTACGAACCGCCAGAAATTGATAAATTTAAGAAAGTGTGGAATTTTGCATATATTCTGGTAAAAATCTTGACCCTGTTTGGGCTCCACTTCAAAAATGGATGTTGAACATAGGGCAGCTATAGTACTGGCCCTAGAACAGGAATATGAACATCAACTGGTGATAAATCGTAGACTGGTTCGAAACTTTTGTGTCGATTTCACGATCTCTCAAGAATTGCAAGAACTGACTGAGAATAAATAAGAATCAGTTCAGTAACTTAACGAATTTATCAATATTAAACTAAGAACCCTGGGGTTTATGAATTTCGTTGCGGACCACGGAATTCTTATTCGGTGTGGAAAAATGGCATGAAAAGGATACGGTTGTCACAGAGGCGGTATTATGAAAACTTTGCCGACCTTAGCAATTTGCGATATGCTATCGAGAATTAGTCCACTGCCGCCATGTAATGCACTTTTTGGTTATCTTTATTAGGAATTTAAATGCAATCTCTTCACTGCTTGGTATGTCATGCATATCAGGCGCTACTGCAAGTTTTTTTTAATCAGTTTATCTCCAGGTATAATTTGAAGGTTTTTTGCATTTTATGATAATTACACAAGATGTTTATTGTGCGTAGAATTTAATGAAACACAAGACTGTATCACAAAAAGGAATCAATAATAATAATAATAATAAAAATAATAATAATTATTATTATTATTATATGTATTATTAAATGAATTACTATTATTACAGAAAGTTTCGATAGTCACTCATAGCACAGTCATCATGATGCAGCCTTTTCATTGTTTGATATGTCAAGTGTCTTTTGCAAAGTGTTTATTGTGAAATATGGATCTCATACGAAGAGCTGT